TTAATGTACCACCACAGTTGAGGAGCTCAGAGGTGAAAATACCAAAGCTGGACACAGAGAACTAAAACTATGTGAGAAGATGTTATTTTACCATTTGAACGAAGCAGCCCTTTAATGTGTAGGCGCTGTTTGATTGGTTGTAAGGGAAGCAAACTCTCCTCTGCCTCAATAACACACGTGAACTGAGATTCAGCATCACGAACATGTGTTGTGCGCACTCACTCGTCGCTCCAGGCCCCGGTCCACTCCACCGTGCCCCAGGGGTTTCGGATCCTCACCAGGTCCACCAAAGAGCCGCAGTTATGAACCTGCAGAACAGACCTCAGAGCTGTAACCTGAGACCATCCAAACCACCTGCAGCCGCTTCCCATTTCATGATGAGCTGGACTTGAGTCAGAGCACCCTGCTGCCTCAGTGATTTCCCAGAATGCCTCACCTGCTGTGCTCCGGTGACGGAGTAGGCGTGGCCTTTAACCAGGTGCTGAGGGGTGATGGCCTCCTTGTCCTGCGAGCTGGAAATCTGACAAACATAGGAGTGTATCACTGACAAAGCACTGCCGAACGTTTCTTGACCCTCAGCCTGACCCTCAGCCCCTGGGAACACTTTTAACTTGTGTCTAATTAAATGTTTAGATTGTGGAGTTAAAAGAGGTGGAAGAACTGAAATGTTCAAACTGCTGTAGTTTTATGAAAGCCACTGAGCTCAGTGAGCATTAGACCGTCTGGGATTTTAACTTTAAACGAAAGTGTGTCAGTGTCTGAGTGGTTTACGTCGATGGAGCAGCCGAGCAGCGAGCCGAGCTTCAGAGCTTTCCTCATGATGTTGACCAGGAAGGGCGGAGCCTCCTTCAGGTCGTAGCTCTCTGAGATTCCTCCGGTAAAATCCTCACAACCTTCAATGGACGAGCCTCCGCTCAGAGCCTCGTACGAGCTGTTCACCCTGCGGCAGAGAAACAGGAGGTCAGTGCTGAGTCAGGTTGGGGGCAGTGTCTGCTTCTGCACTGGAAGCTGAAATTAAGAAACGATGTGCGTTCGCTTCTGGCTGATTTCAAACCACTTGTGTCTTCAAATACCGGGGACTTTGCAGGAGTCATGCCTTGGCTGAAAAGGATTCAAGGTAAAGACTGGAGGAAGTTAAAGGGGCAGGAGAGGTGAAACCGCTGAGTCAGCTGAAGTTTCAGTTTCTCTGAAACGGGACCACGCACATTGATCCAGGCCAGTACCAACAATATCAGCTTGACAGCTCGTTTACACCTGCAGTCCCGGACCAGTATCAGCGCCAAACAATAAAAACAGATTCATATGCCAATAAAACCAGAAGAGGAGCAGCTCCACGTGTCCAAAGAGCTCGAAGTGTGTTTAATATCGGCCAGAAGCAATGGAAGTGCTGAAAGCAGATGAAGTGTCACTTGAGGTGTGAACACATTTTACATGTAACACACAAACGTAGGAGTTAGTGTGAGTTCTGAAAGATGAAGTAGTAAAAGGAGTTGAATGTGTCAGATGAAGAGTAATTGTTGAACAAAGCTTCATTTAGCTTGAACTTGTAAGAGTGAACATTGAAAGAAGCTGAGGTGTAAGTGTTAAAGCACAAACCAGCTGTAAACAGAAGATGTAAGCACTGAAATCAGCTGAACTGTCAGATTGAATTTTAGTGATAAGATTTACTGCTAGTTTATTAAACAAGAGGTTTGTGTGTTGGGGGCTTTTGGAATTAAAGAAGTTGGACTATAAAAGTTAAGTGTAAGGACCTGGAGTGGCTGTTGAAGCATAAGCATGTCATGAAATAAACTAAAATGTACAAACTATCATTTAAAACTAAATCTAAAAAATGTCCTGACAATCTGAAAACAACACAAATTCAACATAAGCACAAGGTTTCTTAATAATTAAAGTTTGGGGACACGTTGGGATGAACATGAAGGAACCTGAGAACGAGTGTCCGTCTGAGGCAGCCTCGGCCCAGAGCAGCAGGTGTGACACCTTTACCTGTTTACTGTAACCAGCTGAGTCAGAAGCCGCTATCGGCCGCTCTGTTTGTTTTTCAGGTTTGTCAGTGGCGAGTGTTTACTGAGCAAAGCTGTTCCACCCTACTGCTAGTGAACTAACACAGCGTCTTCTGTAAACACTTCAGCTTTATTTCTGGAAAACACATTATTTACACAGTGTCACCTATAAACCAAGGTACAGCCAGAGAAACACTGAGTGTAGACTGTACCCGTAGCCCAGAGTGTAAACATTCGAGGGAGCTGGTTAAAGGTAATTAAAAAGAAGGAGAGCACCTGCAGAAAGGAACGAAGACACAGTAAACTGTTATGATGCAAACTAAAAGCAGTTAAAATGTTGGTGGATTGTCTTCAAGACTCAAGATTTTTATTTGCCATTTATGCATAAACAGAGAGTCTGAGCATATAGGAATTCCTGTGCAGGGCTCCTTTGGAGTCAGGTAAGGAGTCAAAAGCCAGAAAAGAACATCTACCCTGAAAATAAAGTTACATAAGAGTGACATAGTATAAGAACACATTCAAGATAAAAACACCACATCTGCTGACCAAAAGTAACTCAAAGTAGGTCAAATGTCAGCTGAAGTGTAAACTTTAAAAGAAGTGATTTAAATTGACGTAGCAGTTGAAGTGCTTCTCCTAAAAGTTTTAAAATTAGAAGCTCTCTGTCTAAGCAGGACCGAAGGCCCCCTCATGCCTTTGTTTCTGAGAGGGCAGACCATTGTAACGCACTGCTGACTGGCCTCCCCAACAAGACCATCAGAGGCAGCTCATTCAAAATGCTGCTGCGCTGACAAACACCAGGAACAGACGGCACGTTGCTCCAGTCCTTAGATCTGTGCACTGGCTTCCAGTTAAATATAGAATTCAGTGTAAGGCCCTACTCAGTGTCTACAGGTCTCTCAAGGTCTGGGCCCAAAACACATCAGACATGTTTGCTGAGCACAGGCCTGGGATAAAGACAATTTTCTCAAACTTTAGACATAAAAGGTAATTTAGACATAAGGTGAAAGTGCCTTTAGCCATGACGCTGCCCACAGCTGGAACCAGCTCCCAGTGGAACTGGGATCTGCACTGACTGGAGCCATGTTTAAGACTAAACTAAAGGCTCTTCTTTTCTCCACTGCTTTTAATGAATGTTCCTTAATTCTTCTCAGTTTTCCACTTTATCTACTTGATCTTTGTTCCATTACTCACTGTGCTGTTTAGCTGACTGTATAGACACTGGTGTCTCACGTTCCAGAGCAAAGTACACCTGTGTCTGGTGTAGACCAGTCAGAGGATGGTCTTGGAACTGAAGGGGTACACGGTGTCCAGAGAACCCCCAGTCTGCCACAGCTGTAGAGCGGTACTGGGTATCTACACGTGCATGTTGCTGCTTTGTGCCGTCATGTTTTATCTGTTTGCATCAAGTTCAATCTGATTTGCCTTTGTGTATGAAAATGTGCTGTATAAATAACCTTGCCTTAACTGTCATGTGTGCCTGTCAGTTTATCAAAACAAGAAGCGTGAACACTGAAATTGAAGTGTAACTGATGAAAGGAGTTGATTGAACTGGAAAACGTTAGTGTCAAATGAAGCAGTTTGAGGAGAGAAGATGTAAACATGCACAACGTTTGTCTGCTGAGCTGATGTGACATGTATTAACATGGAAGACGGGCAAACTGAAAACAGTGGAGCAACAAATGAAAGGAGCTGAAGGTTTGAAGAAAACAGGCTAAAAGTAGCGAAACTGTCATTTGGAATGTAAACTATGTGCACGTGGGAAAAGGAGACTGAAATGTGCAGTGTCTGTCAGTTGGTGCAGTTATTGTGAGATCAGTAAGAGCTGAAGAAGTCTGTGTGACAGTGGACAGCCCCACAAAAAGAAGTTGATTCTGAGTTGATATTATTTGTCAGACACTTTCGTGTCTATTGTACAAATGGAACGTTAGCGGCTGCGATCAGAACAGGTCCGAGTCGTTCATAATGATGTCAGTAAACCAACTTTCTCCAACTACTGATATGACTGTCATCTTGTTTTGTATTCATCTTTGTTTGTTTGTTTGTTTGTTGTCTTAGTGGTTGTTTTATTTTGGTCTGTTCATTATGCTTGTTGCTTTCATTTACTGTCTTTTCATTTGGCGTCTTTCTTTTTTGTTGTTTATTTGGTATCTGGTTTTTATCTCACTGGAGTCTGTGTAGTTGTGTTTGCTTGTTTGGCTCTTACTTGGCGTAGGCCTTCTCCAGCAGGGCACTCCAGAACTCCCTCCCCTCAGCCGAGTGGACAAACAGCAGCTCTCCGTCTTTGGCCGGCAGCTGGTCATCGATCACCACGTCCACCCACTCCCCATACTGCCACAGCTACAGGAACAGGAAACATGAGGTCACTTCCTCTAAAGCCTCCGCCTCCCCACCCTCCTCTGGTCCTCCATGTCCCATAATCAACTGCTCATACTTTAATGGTGCATTCAGGTGCAGTCATGTTCTCTGTGACATTTGAGTGTCTCCTGATCTGAACCCTTCAGAGGATTCAGCTTGTGAAAAAAACTTTGTTTGTAAAAGACCTCTCCTGGAATCACCACCTTAACATGGTGGAGAGGTTGCTGAGACAGTTATTCTGCTTATTATGTGAAAGAAACCCCCACTGTACATTAAACCTGTTCCAGGTGTGTCAGTGAAGGAAATGTGAGACCTGGAAGTGAAAGATGCCGGCATACTGTGACGTGAAGCTCTGACTAGGAGGCACCACTCTGTTCAGAATCTGAGGGTCCAGAGTCAGGGAGGCGATGGCAGCCAGCAGCCAGCAGTCACCTGACAGACAGAGACCAGGTCAATGATCTCGCATCTGCTGACACATGCAGGTGTGTGTGTGTGTGTGTGTGTGCTCACCCAGAGCTCCCTGACAGATGTCAGTTCTGTTTGCTCCATCCATGATGAACTGAGGATCAGAACACAGCTCCTGATTGGACGAGACAGCAGGTGATTAGTGACATCATAATGTACTGGAACCGTCATCGTCAAACACCAAAGGTGAGGGTTATTTTTTTAGTTTGCCTCCAAAACAAAATTCAAGCTTCATGTTAGTATTTTTAACGCTCAGTATAGAGTAGTGATGAAGAGCCGGACGTTCAGATCAAATTCACGTAACCAGAAACAAAAATGATCTGACGCTTTCAGAAGCTTTGTAATGACTGTGAACTGTAGGCATAGCTGCAGCTAAGATGTTTTGGTGAACTGAGTAAGAATGGATCGATCATAGATGTGTGACCTGGCCCTCTGACTCAGATTATTAGCTGAACATTAATAAGGGCGTCACCATACTTCACGTCTTATTTTCATGTCTGCATTATTCTGTTTGTTTCAGCTGCGAATTCAGTTTAAATAATTTCCTCTAAAAGCTCGAGGACAGAAGCTGCAGATGTAAACTGAAGCACAACTTTTACAGTTAGTCATATTAATGTGCTGTCACCACCTAGAACTGAATCTGCCACTGAAATGTGATAAAAACTGAACTGAAACTATTAATGGATGAAAGTAAACTCAGCTGTGATGACACCTGCCCAGGTGTAACAGCAGGTGTCTTCAGAGCTGCCTGGTTAACGTTGAACACAAACCTCTTATACAGGAGGAGGTTTGATTTTATCTGTAATGTCCTTAAACTGGCAAAAGGCTGACAAATCTGACAACACATTGATACGCTGTTTGTCAGGAAACAGTTCCAACACACAACACCTCCACACAACAATTGTGGTTTCATGCCATGTGTAAAGATTAAACAAGACACACCTGTAACCTGATCTTTACGGGTGCTGAGAGGTAGGCTTTGTTGCCTTTGCTAAGAGGCAGTGTGTCTGGTCGTTATGCTAAGCTACGCTAGTTGTTTCCCTCTGTCCTTTCATTCACTCTTTCACCTCAGCCAGGAGGGCATGGTTTTGGTTCCATGGGGGGTCGGGGGGTGTCGGCAGCATTAGGCAACACTGGATGGATCATCAGAACACTCAGGTGCTCTTGTTCTTTCTGTCTGCCATGGTCAGTGTTGGAACTTTTTATTTGAAAAGTCCTTCATAAATAAACATATGAATGAAGTATTGTGACGAGCTGACGGCTGGGCTGGTGGCAACAGGGAGAGCAACTTCATCCTTCACAGAAACTAACAGCCCTCAGAGCGCACATGACCCTTGGGCAAGGCGCAGCGTTCACTCACGCAAATGGGTCCCTTATGAAAAATGAGATCCAGAGCAACACAAAATGTGTCCTAAGGTCTTTGATCCCGATCAGATCATCTTTTAGGGTATGACAGGCAGTTCTACTGGGCATCTTACCCGAGCATGTCGGGGCTCCATCGTCATTACAGGCCACATTATGGCAGAAAAGATGCATTAACGGGCTTTTACTGTTAAGTTTCAATGGCCATCAAGTCAGAATTTTGATTTGGGCGACTGTGGTTCAGTGGGGAGAGCGCTGGTCTCACAACCAGAAGGTTGGAGGTTCGAATCACGGTGCCTGCAGTCCACATGTACAAGGCACTGAACCCAAGTTGCCCCTGATGGTTGGAGCCATCGGTGTGAGTTGGCGTCGCAGATGGCTGCCTCGGTTCTGTGCCGGAAACAAATTCCCTGTGCGTGTAACATACGTGGCCAAATAAAGTGATTATCTGGTGACAGACACTCCCACCCTACGTATGTGCCTCATGTTTCAAACAAAAATGTTTTTGATAACTTTTGACAGAGATATGATTTTTTTATTTGCCCCATGTTAAAGATTTTTACATTGACCTTTGACCTTTTTCAGCCAGAATCTAATTACTTCTGTGGTTGGTCCCTCCAGTGTCTGTAGCAAGTAAACTGATAATCTATTCGGCTGTTTGTCCATAATCCTGCTAAGCAACAGAGGGACACACATCAAAAGCATAACTTCCCTGGTGGAGGTAACAAACTGCTGCTGTTTTCTTAGTGCAAGCAACGACGCCTCTCCTCATACTAACACATAAAAGGTTCTTAATTGATTATTACTGACAATAATCATTATTTCTTTGATTAAAGAGAAACAATCTCACTTTTCTCCTTTTCTCAGTTTGCCTCCACAGAACACATCTGAAGACTCTGGACATTTTTCACTTGGCCTTATGAGATAAACGATTAATCAAAATTGATGGATATTAATCATTCATCACACACTCGGTGCTGCAGCTCACCTTGGGGCGTTTCCACTCCACTCCGACGGTTTTGCACGAGTAGCGGCCCAGCTGGTTGTAACCCAGAGAGTCCCAACTTGCAGGGAAGGTTGGGTCACAGAACAGCGAACCACTCTGCAGGCACTTGCTGCGAAGCTGCTCAAAGTCCTGCTGGTTGAAGGGGACGGCATTGGCCTGGCTGCCCGCACCATCCTCCTCCCGGGCCTTCCTCCGGGCCAGCTCAGCTGCCATGTTTGCCATCCTGAAGGTCTGCCAAAGTTCTGTGAAGAATGTGTTGAAAGACTGTCGAAAGTCTGACAAGAGTTTGGTAAAACGGAGCTGAGAGTTGGGTCTGCCAGGTATCAGCCGCTGTTC